AAAAAAAAAAAAAAAAATATTCCGACGAACTGATAACCTCCTCCTTTTTTGGAAGTCGGTTAAAAAAGGCCTTTCCATACGACCCAACAAACATTTAGGTTCGAGCTCAACTTGAGGTTAAGTTGAGAACTAAGGTGTTTCTCAACAGTACCTCAAGGGGGGAGGTTAAATAAACGTTCTCTGGTATTATTGCATCATACAATTAGGAATGTTCGATATTTCAGAAAGTATCGATATCATGAATCGATTTAATTCATTGAATGTAAAATCGATATGGCGATGTATCGGGCTGAATAATATCGATAGCGAAAAAATCGATGTGAAAATCCTTATTCCAATTGAATAGAATATTAGACCTTCCAATCAACTCACCTAATTGTGTTATTTCCATCTTTTATATTCACTGAGGATTGAAACAGCATGCCGGTCGACTCAAGCGGTTTCTCAAACTTAACAGCTAAATAAATCACACAAGCTGCTGATTAAACCTACTTTAGTATTTTCCCATACACTTTGTTGTGGATAAAAAATATATTTAAACTTAAATATCGATATTGTGAGCAAAGTATCGATGTCTTCGATATATCGACCTTGGAATATCGATTCAAAAAATCGATTATCGTGCCATGAAATATCGATATTCTCATTTGTCTTGTCTCGTGTAAACGCAAGTTCAAAGGCCCTACACACGGATCGATTTATCGGCCAACCAGTTGGCCAACCGCTAGAAGTTGGTGATAAATAAGCCGTGTGTAGGCAAGTTGGCAAACCTTCGTCAGGTTGGAGTAAAATCAAAAACTTTTGATTTTAGAGGCAGATTGGTCAACTTGTTGCTCTGTGTGTAGACAAGTTGGCAACCTAAAATGCGATTTCATTTTTTTAAAGGCGCATTAACGTTAACATGTGTTTTTGACATGAACGAAAGACACAAGATCACGCGGGAAGGAAAGAACGAAAAAAGTTATTTTCTAGCTGCCGAAATCTCGACGCCATCTTTGTTGTAAGAAGTAAACAACGAAGAGAACGGAGAAAACTGCGAAATTGTTGAACGCATGAAAAATTAATTTTTATTATGCAAATTCTTCTAAAAATCATGCCGTTGTGTTAAATTATTCTTTAACTTATGTGTACACACGTTGTCACAAGCGAAAATGAAGAAAATTGCAGTAAAAAGCCACCACCAAATTGTAAACAACGAAGAAATGTAAATAAACGGCTAATGTCAAAGTCGTTAAACTTTTTTCCTTAATGCGATTCTAACGGGCTACTCTCCTGCCCGCGTGATCTTGTCTTTTTGGTTCATGTGTTTTTGATTCGTTTCGCTAGTGAAAATGCCTATAATGTGAAAACGGGGGCAGTAGCAATAACAAATACATGAAAATGAGAAGCATTCCTAGCATAGCTCTCACTCAAATAAAATCGGCCAACTGGTTGGTGCGTTTGTAGGGAATTTCGTTAAACAGGTTGGTCAACTAGTTGGCCGATAAATCAATGCGTGCGTAGGGCCTTTTATACAACTGTCAGCAGTGACAGACTAAAGGCTCTGTTATGCATACTTGGCATTGCTTGAGAGTTGTCACATAAGGAATCTGTTAAATGAGCTTCGCGTGTAAGCGGTTACCCAACGCACAGCATTACAAACGTAAAAGTCTGTTGGTTTTTGATTTCTACGTAAAAATGGTATAGCAGTGCA